ATTGCATCCGATGAAAAAAGGCAGGCTGGGGTGGGGGTGGGGGCGGGGGCGGGGTGGGGTAGCCTAGTTGAGCGTACTTGTAGAGTCTGCACAAAGCCCAACCCCAGGACACATCAGACTGGGGCCAGGCATGGCAGCACACGCCTGTGATCCCAGCACTTGAGAAGCTGGAGTTTGAGGGCAGCCAAGGCTAGAGTTCTGGGCCAGCCTGGGCTACATAGTATGACCCTGTCTTTTCATCCTTCCTTCCTTCTCTCTCTTCTCCCCTGCCTTTCTTTCTACTTTCTCCCTTTTCCCTTCCTCAAAGCCTGTACTTCTGCTCTAAGTCCCACACCCCAAAAATTGCTCCCCTGAAGGACAGATAGGATAAGCATGATGTCCTACCCGGAAGACACAGTCTATGAAGGAAACAGGGTTGTTGAAAACTCAGCATTGCCCCAGTTAACCTAAACCGGGACCCCCCACTGTGTTCTCTGCTGTGCTGATCAGCCTGACTGCCCCCCTCCCTCCTGGCCCCCAAGACCTTGCATCTTAGCAGTCTCAAGTGCCCCAGTCCTTGTGTGGACCCTGCAAAAAGATCCGTGGGCCTCTTCTGTCTGCGGAGTGGTTGCTATCACACTCTAGTTTAATTTAAGTGGGGGGTGGGGGTGGGGAGGATGGCCCTGGGAGGTCCTTGGACGTGAAGGTAATGAGCACAAATGTTTGTACGATCCGATCGCAAACATTTTCTTTCCTTCCTGGGAGGCTCCGTGTGTGGCTGCGAGGGGGTCCCGGGTTCCAGCTTCTGCTTTGCAGGGGCACACTGCACTTCTCAGCCGTGTCCACCCTCTGGCCGTCATGCGCCCCCCTTGCGTGCTCACACAGCCATCTCATCCCCCCCCCCTCCCCCCGGGGCCTGGAGCTGTCCGTTTGGCTGTGACGGGCAGTGGAGGGCGTGCCCAGGTGGATGGAACCTGAGACAGGGCTGGCGGTAAAGGAGGTTTTGCTGCTTAGGAAATGATGGCGGGAGCCGGAGAGAACTGGACAGAACTGCATATTACCTAGAAGGGAAGGGAAGGTCTCTCAAGGAAATGCCACGATCCTAATTTTCCTTTATTCTCTCTCTTTACTCCCAACCCCCCCTACCCCCCACCCCCCACTCCGCTGGGTGACTCTATTCTGGGTCACCGGCTTTTCTCGGCGGCGGCGGCGGCGGCGGCGGCGGCGGCGGCGGCTTCTGTGGGGCGCGCTCCGAGCAGCTGGTACGTGACAATGCAGATCTGCGTTGTGAGCTTCCGAAACTGGAAAAACGACTTAGGGCTACGGCTGAGAGAGTTAAGGCCCTGGAGGGTGCACTGAAGGAGGCCAAGGAGGGCGCCATGAAGGACAAGCGCCGGTACCAGCAGGAGGTGGACCGGATCAAGGAGGCGGTGCGGTACAAGAGCTCCGGGAAGCGGGGCCATTCCGCCCAGATCGGTGAGTGGATGTCCGTAGGTGATAACCTGCACCAACTCCAGCCAGGTCCTCAGTGCCAGACAGCTCGGTGCTTGCTTCTGGCCCTCGCCCTCCCACCGAAGGACGATGAGGTCATTGTGCAGGGTGACCTTAGGGACCAGGGGAGACTCAGGGTAACCAATAGCTTTCTCACGGCTGCTGTTTCTTCTCTGTCATAGCTAAGCCTGTGAGGCCTGGCCACTACCCGGCCTCTTCACCCACCAACCCCTACGGCACCCGGAGCCCCGAGTGCATCAGTTACACCAACAACCTCTTCCAGAACTACCAGAACCTGCACCTGCAGGCTGCACCCAGCTCCACCTCAGATATGTAGTGAGTGACCGTGGGCGTGGCTGGAGTTCCGGCCCGAGGCCGTCTGGGCCCTAGAAGGCATAGGGTGGTGTCAGCTCTTGGCTTATTTAATTTTTCTTTCCTAAGTCCCGCGGCCTCTAACCCTTCCCTTGGCTTTCTGCATGTGATTAGGAGACGGGTGCCCTCTTCCCCGTCTCCGAGGTTACCGGTGTCGTTCCTGGGGATGGACAGGATGAGGGCAGGGAGGGGTGTGGGCGTGGCGGTCCCCAGAACGGTTAGAACAGAGGCTGCCTCTCTATTCTGTTCCCCTTAGCTTTGCTAACTCCTGTGCCAGCAATGGAGCCACATCCGGCGGCCCCTTAGCTTCCTACCAGAAGGCCAACATGGACAACGGTGAGCGACAAAGATCGGGGTCCCCGGGGCAAACGGAGAGGGGTTTACGGCGGACGCTAACAGAACCTTTCTCCATGCCAGGGCGTCCAATGAAAAGATAATGTCAGGGGTGGGGCTCACTGGCAGAGCACTTAGTGTGGTCGCTGCCCTGCGTCCTAGCCCTGGTTCAGGGTAGGGAAGGTGGGGGAGGGCAGGGTTACACCCACATGGGCCCACTGACTGAGCCTTAGCCTGATGTAGATGTCCAGCCTAGACCAGGCTGTCCTGGAATCCCTCAGTAGCCCAGGCTGTCCTGGAACTCAGAAATCCGCCTGCCTCTGCCTCTGAACGCTGGGGTTAAAGGCGCGCGTGCCATCACCACCTCTGGCCCTGCTGGCACAGCTTTGGGGAGCTGAGGATAGAGCGCCCGGGTTCACCCGTGCCTTAGAGGCGTTGGGAGGGGAAGGGTTTTGTGACGTCGGCTCCTCACACCAGCCTTTTCTGACCGAGTGCTCTCAACGGTGGTCTCTTTAGGAAACGCCACAGACATCAACGACAACAGGTACCCAGACACCACTGACCCAGGGTTCTCTTGGTGGGGCCGGGAGAAGTGACCAACGTTTCTCCACTTGGGCTAACTGGAGCCTTGGGGGGGAGGGAGGAGCCAAGGAGGCTCACTGTGGTGGTCACTTCATGTCATGTCATGTCCCCCTTCCCCCACACCCCCTGCATCTCCCCCGCCCCTCCCCCGTCCAAGCCCCTCCCCATTCCAGTCATGATACCTGGGGGAGAATGCCATGGGTGTTTGATATTTTCTCTCCTACTTTGGGGGACTTTCTGACCTTGGGCAAGGCCGTAGTTTTCAGAGACGCATGCTCTTCTCTGCCCTGCCCTTTCTTATCTCACGGGCATGCTATCAGAGCATGCCAGGCATGGAGCTGACTGTCCTGTCTCTTCCTCCTTCCAGGAGTGACCTGCCATGCGGCTATGAGGCTGAGGACCAGGCCAAGCTTTTCCCCCTCCACCAAGAGACAGCAGCCAGCTAACTCCCATGCCTGGCTACGTATCTGCACTTTCAGGTAGCTGCAGGCAACTCCCGTCTCTGCTCCTGGCCTCTTCTCCTGTTTCTTTTCTCTTTATCATTGTGTGTGTGTGTGTGTGTGTGTGTGTGTGTGTGAGAGAGAGAGAGAGAGAGAGAGAGAGAGAGAGAGAGAGAGAGAGAGATGCGCATGCACACACATGCACAGGTCAGAGGTTGGTGTGTGTGTCTTCACGTAACACTGCACCTCATCTTTTGAGACAAGGTCTCTCTCTGAAACTGGACCTTGGTGTTTTGGCTGGCTGGCTGCCCACCCCGCTGGCTGCCTGTTTCTGTCCCCCAGTGCTGGGGTAACAGACAGACAGACTGGCTGTTATGTGTGTGCTGGGGATCTGAATGTAGTCCTCAGGCCTGTGCAGAAACACTGTATGACTGAGCCATCTCCCCGGACCCACTACCCCTTTATTTTTTTTCTTAAACCATCTCAAAACCTTTTAGCTCCTGCTTAGCTGGGTATGGTGGCACATGCCTCTATAATCCCAGCACTCAGACAGAGGCAGGAGGATCATGAGTTCCAAGGACTCCTGGGTTAGTGAGACCTTGTATCAAAACCAAACAAAAACATTTACTAAGAACCCCAAGTCACACATCAGCTCAGGCTCTCCCTTATGCAGGCTCCACCCAGCCCTGACCTCCCATGCACCCTGACACTGGGGCCTTTGGGGCTGGTGGTAACCACAGTACTGATTTCCACCACTAGGGGTCACTGTCACACAAACAGCTAGGGCCCACAGGTCACAGACCTTGGGTACCAGGAGAGCGAGGGAGAACATCCCATCCCGCCTCTACCTCCACTATAAAATGATCACAGATACGTGGAGATGTTTTGAGCCAAGATGCCTCGTGTAGAGGTGATGATCTCTGCCTTACCGTTCCCAGATCTGCATATGCTACCAAAGACGATGCTGTCTGAACCTTGGTCCCTCTAGCTAGTGACCACAGTCCTCTCTGTACCGTGCACTGGAAATGAAACATGGGCTGCCTCCCATCTCCAGCCCCTCCAGCTTCCACACCTCCCTCTTGCCAAGTCCTTGGCAGCGGCAGGGGACACCTCCCCCCTCCAGCATTCCCTCCCCCCTCCGCCTTGTTCCTGGTGTCACCAGGCTTCAGGCTTCTTGTCACGGTTGCTTTAGACCCCAGGTGGACAGTGGCACCTCTTTGGTTGCCCACGTTAGATCCTTGGCTGACTAGGATCAAGAGAAAATAAAGCCAGTCTCTCGCTGGGCCGCCCTAGGCCGAGCCCCTCCCAGGCTTTTCCCGGAGAGGGGTCCAGGCCGAGAGGCATGAGAAAGAGAGAACTGGAAAGGGCAAAGAGGATGCTGGGAGGATGTGGGGTGGAGAAGCAGGGGTTGGGCTGGCTGGGAGTTGAGGGGTGGGGTAGCCTTGTCCGTGTTCAGGGAACAGAACTGTAAGCCAAAGTGTGTGCCCGTGCCGTGTGTTCCTGCACAGAGCCTGGGCTCCGGCTGCTTCCTCACGCCTTTCTCTCTCTTTCTTCCCCAGTTTCTAAGAGGGACTGAGGCCTCTTCTCTCAGCATGCTGCAAACCCTGTGGTCTCTGACACTAGCTCCCTCTCCAGGCTGTGTTGTTGGACTGTCGATCTCCTCCTCCTCCATATCTTTGTACTCTGTATCTATACACGAGAAGCTGCTGCTGTGTCTCCCTCTCTGTCGTCCTCTCTGGGTACCTGGTGATGTAGGTAGCGGTTTTTATGCCTAGCCTCCCCTCCTCGTTCGGGTTTAGGGAGGAGGGGAACGTCTTCTTCTTTCTTCCATACACTCGTTTCTCACACCGAGTGATGCTCGTCACCGAGTAGAGGTCACAAGATGATAAAGGAAAAAATATGAGCTAGGAGGCTGTGATCCTTCTTGCTCACACACACACACACACACACACACACACACACACACACACGCACACACGCGCACACACACACACACAGTGTACATACAAAGCCTTAAGCAGAAGAATGTCTTAGCATCTACAAAAAGAGAGAAACAGACCCCGCCCCCCCCCTTTACAGAGCACAGAGGAGGACCCAGCGGAAGGGTTGATAGATTATCCCGGCCCCCATACGCCCTTCACCCAAGTCAGGAGATGGCGGGAACTTACTTCCGTCCTATGGAGTCTGCCTTTTGCTCCCTTCCCCCGAGTCTGGGAGCGTGGATGGTTCAAGGGACTATTCCCCTTTCTGCCCCGAGCCTCTTTTGATACCGTCTACTTTAGAAATCACAACCAGAACTTAGAGTCGATATAGAAAAAAAAAATATTCTGAAAAGTCAAGGAGGCAGACCTCTGAGAAACGGCTGCTCATCTGTCTGTGCCGAGAGTTATAAGCAGGCGGAGTTAGACCGGTGGGTCCCCTGGGGCTGGGGGCTGCCATGTGACTCTCTATCACAGTGCCCTCGGTTGAAGCTGGGAGCTCACTCTTTCTCCCTTCTGGGCTGCCCGCGTTTCCCACCTCTGATTCTGGTCTGGGGGCTTCCAGTTCATTTATTGGCATAAGAGCTGTTTCTAGATGCCCCTGGCTGGAGCCTGGCTTTTTCCCAGAATACCTTCTTCCCGTAGAGACTTCTCTCTGATCTCCGTCTAGTACCAAGCGCACTTTAAAGACAGAGCAGGAGGTCCAGCGCAGTGGCAGACAGCTTCCCCAGCACATGAAAAGGCCCTGGGTGGATCCCCAGCACCTCAAAAGCAAAAGCTGGGTAGGGTGGCTCACATTTGTGAACGCTGCTCTCAGGAAGCTGAGGTGGGAAAGTGGCTAAATTTGAGGCTAGCCTGGGCTAGAGTCAGTTTCAGAAAAGCTTCAGGTGCAGTGAGAAACCCTGTCTCAAAACAAAGAAAAAAAAAGACAGGGACTGGTCAGATTTTTTTCAGAGCTGATGGAGGCGGAGGCTTGAACTTAGTACTCACCCCACAGCCATTCTGAGCCCAGGCCCCCACCCCCCAACCGTCAAGGGGACATCGTTTGAGCTCAGATGGCCCTTTCCCCCCACCTGGTAAGGTGATTTCCCCAGAAAACTGCAGGAATGAGGGTCACTAGCCAGACGAGGCCAGGAAATACAGCCGAGCATCCAGATACCCAGCTTACCCCGGGGCGGGAGACCAGACAGCCGGAGCAGGGCAGACCGTCTTCCGGCTTCTAGGACGAGAAGGAAAACGGTGTGGGTGACAGCTGGTAAACACAGGCCGGAGCGGCCGTGATGCCTTCAGGGCAAAGTGTCTGCTTTCTACCTGTGAAGGGATGACAGAGATGCAAACAGAATCAGAGTGGTGTGCGAGAACGCCAAAGCGGCAATTCTCAAACGCTTTTGAAACTAAATCTTATGTAGGAAGACATAAAAAGTAACACAGGGTTTAATGGTGGCTCAGTGGCATGTGACAAGGGCTAAGGGTCTCGTGTGTCTCTGGAGCTGCAAAAAAACAAGAAACAACCAAAATGGTCAAGTAATTCAAGCCTGGGAAGTTGTTTTTTGTTTTTGTTTTGTTTTTCGAGACAGGGTTTCCCTGTGTAGTTTGGAACCTGTCCTGGATCTCGCTCTGTAGCCCAGGCTGGACTCGAACTCACAGAGATCCGCCTGCCTCTGCCTCCCGAGTGCTGGGATTAAAGGCGTGCGCCACCACCTCCAGGTCCTGGGAAGTTTATATCATCTTTCTTTTTGCTTAACTAGTTGAAGGGCCCTGAAACAGTCCTAAGAGTCTGAGCATCACTTATTTGCAAGAGGGGTCCAATGTGGTTTCCCTACTCTAAACCCCAGCTCAAAAGGAAGAACAGGCAGGGCCACGTGAGTCACCGCCTCAGAGCCAGTGGGCGAAGGAGGAAGACAGCATCCTGTCTGTGGCTTCATGCCAGCCGGACACCTGAGAACCTGAGGGAGTTTGTAACGACAAGGAAATGGGAAGGTACCCGCAGAGCAGACGAAAGGGAGGGCGACATCCTTCTCTGTCTTCAGCAAGATGTAAGAGAAAATGCCGCTTGCTTATGTCAGCGAGAAACACCCACTTCACCAGAAGCCTCTCACTACACTCTCCCTCCTTCCATTCACTCCGTCCCTCTCCGAGAGTCAGGTCACCAGGAGGGCCACCCGGCCCGCCCACTCACATCTGCCAAAATGTTGCATGCCCTCGAGGAAGACAGACCAAACTGCACAAATCCCAGTGTGTATTTACTTGGTGGACACAGATACCTTTAAAATAAAATAAATCCAAGACGACTGTGTTGCTTTTATTTATTTATTTTTTTTAAAAGGGTTTTTGTTTGTATAACTGTTTTGCGAGCACATATGTATGCTCATCATATGCGTGCCTGGTGCCCTCAAGAGGCTGGCATAGGGTGTCAAATCCTCAGGAACTGGAGTCCCAGATGGTTGTAAGCTGTGGTATGGGTGCTGAAATATTGAGCCCTGGCCGGCTAGAAAAGCAGCAAGTGCTCTCAACCACTAAATCCTCACACTAGCCCTGTGTAGTGGTTTGCATGAGAACGGGCCTTATAGCCTCAAATGTTTCAAAACTTGTCCCCCAGCCGGTGGAGCTGTTTGGGAAGGATTAGGAGGTGTGGCCTTGTTGGAGGAGGTGTGCCACTAGGGGCTGGCTTCAAGGCTTCAGAATGCACAGAATTCCATTAGCTCTCTCTGGCTCAAGCTTGCAGACCTGATGTGATCTCTCAGTTACTGCCCCAGCTCCATGCCTTCTGCATACTGCCACATTCCCTGTCCCGACTGTCATGGACTCTAGCTCTCTGGAAGCATATGCCCCAAATTAAATGTTTCTTTTATAAATTGCCTTGGTCCTGGCGTGTGGTGATATTTTGTTGCACTCTAATAAAATCTGCCTGAAGATCAGAGGACAGAGCCAGCTGCTAGATTAGACACAGAGGCCGGGCAGTGGTGGCACACACCTTTAATTCCGGTACTTGAGATCTCACACCTTTAACCCCAGTGTTTGGGAAGCACACACGCCATTAATCCCAGCACTAGGGAGGTTGAAATAGGAAGAGAAATGGCTGGGCAGAGGAAAGCATATAAGGCGTGAAGAGACAGGAACTAGAGAGCCTTTTGGCTGGCTGAGGACTCAGGCATTCAGTCAGAGGATCCATGGAGGAGTCAGCGAGGTGAGAAGTGGCCATGGCTTGTCTCCTCTGATTTTTCAGCATTCACCCCGATATCTGGCTATGGGTTTTTAGTAAGACCATTTAGGAATCATGAAACAATGGTGTTTTGTTACAATAATAAGAAAGTAACTAAGACACTCTGTTTGGATTTACTGAGACAGGTTCTCATGTAGCCCAGTGACCTCAGACTCACTATGTATGTATCAGAACCTGACCTTGAACTCCTGACCGTCAAGTGTTGAAATGACACCTATGTGCCACCGTGCCCGGCTGAAAATCTTTCTCTCTAACCTCCCTCCTCTCAAATTTAGTAGTAAATATAGATATATTACACACGTATGGACACAAACACACACACATATGAGGTGATATTTTATTTGTGTACCCCAATAAAACTTATCTGGGGATCAGAGAACAGAGTCAGCCACCAAATTAGACAGAGGTCAGGGGTGGTGGCACAAACCCTTAATCCTATCACTGGGAGGCAGAGATCAGTCTGGATCTCTGTGAGTTCAAGGCTACACTGGGAACAGAGCCAGGCGCAGTGGCAGGCACCTTTAATCCCAGCACTTGAGATCTCATGTCTTTGCTTGGGAAGCACACACGCCTTTAATCTCAGGAAGTGATGTCTGGGCAGAGAAAGGTAGATAAGGCGTGAGGAGACCAGAACTCATGCTCTGGAGGCTGAGGAGTTGGCGAGGTGAGGTTGGCTGCAGCTTGCTCTGCTTCTCTGATCTTTCATTATTCACCCCAACATCTGGCTCCAGGTTTTTTTTTTTTGTTATTGTTATTTTTATTAATAAGATTCTTCAGCAATTCATGTTACACATATATATTCACACACAT